TTTCATGTGACCAACTAATATGAGCTGGCAAACAAGGACAGAAAAGTGAAATCACACTTAACTAGGTAGGACAGAAACAATAAAACGTCTGAACCCAATGTATAACGTCAGCATGCGTTGCTCCGAGAAGACAGAGGTCACCGTCAGCCCGCAACAGGGCTGAGAGCGACGACAGACGACTCGCGACACACCTCGCACGACGCAAACGCCCGCGCGTCCTCAGGAGCCGGAGACCGTCGCACCCCAGACGACATACAAGCGTCCGTGTGTCCAGTGCGTCGTCGCCGCCCACTCCTGGGAGGCGAGAGAACGTGCTCTCTTTGGCATCTCAAGTTTTCCCAGACATACGACCATTGACCAAGAATCAATCGCAGGACACAAATGTTCCTATTTCGGTCTTACATGCGACATTTCGCCAGAGTGCGGAGTTGTACGGACTGATTTTCTTCTGTATTCTCTCCCTCATTAGGACCCCCCATTAACTGGGTCTTAATTTGTAGCATTACATAAATCCGCAAACCACGTCACCCAATCACGCAACCCGTGTCCAAGTTTGGCGGTGACGTCACGTCGTATAGCAACACAGGATCCGTTTGTGAAGTGGGTACTAAACCGAAGACACCTCCCTAACGGGATGAGTATAATCAACCGTTACTTTTTTTTAATATACACCTTTATTGAACAAGGACCATGCATAAAAATACATTAATCTAAAAAAGAGAAGAGATGCTATATGCCAGATTAAAGCTAAAAACTCATTTCCATCTGCTGTCACTGGGCAAGTACACGCATAACAATCAACCAACGTTACAAATATCTCATAATGCTGATCATCACACTAACAAATAAAACAGATCAAATACAGATCTAATAATGACTTTTGGTCCTACTTCCACACAACACAACAGTTCATGAATTCAACATTTGCTTCCCCACTCCAAAGGATTGTTGGTGGTATTTGAGGAGGAAGCAGGATAAGCACACCTTTGACTTCAGTCCACAGAAGCACTTGTCCGTTCTGAGGTGTGAAGATATAAATTGCCGAGTCAGTCCAGGTCAGCAAGTTCTGGTCTCTATAAATAAAAGTAAAGTGTACAGTTTGTCAAGTGAGTGAATAAACAATAATGGGAGGGTTTTCTTTTTGATGTCGTCTAGTGTTATCAACGCACTTGCTTAATCAATAATATGCATGTGGTAAGACAAGTGATCGACAAGCCTAAAAACTAAGATGGGAAATATATAAATAATATTACCCAAAGTAAAGCAGTTTAGTGAAGGCGATTGACTGCGGGCTCTTCTGTGCTGGGTTGTAATGTGGCTCATCTCTGCAGGAATGTAAGGCAGTTAGTTGTTTGGCCAATCAAAGAAGAACATTTTAAAGCAGGAACAATCATGACCTGTAGGTGATGAGAGGGAGAGGAGGACAGGCCAGGGGCTGTTTGAACTGATGGGTGCTCAGAACCTCTCCATTGAAGCTGGCCTCCCATATTCGAGACCCCGGCCGGGCGGAGTACAGCAGGGGGGGCTGTCCAACCAATAAGCCCCTGTTCTGAGGGTAGAAACACGCTCCATACTCTCCATCACGCTCCTTAGATCCAACACGCCAAAACTTCTCTCTAGAAAAAGAACACACAGGAATTCCTTTCAGGAGTTAACAAAATGATCAACATTGGCAACATTTTGCCAGAGCCCAATCTTAAGCCTGCCACTAATATTTGATATAGAATACATTACAAATACATTTTAGAAAATGGTGCTAATGTCTATCCCAATATCTTACTTATATTTTAATATGTATTGTTTTCCCCGAAATCCAGATATATTTAGTTTAATATGATATAATACTGAAAAAAGCCGACGTCTCCATATTTGAGAGCCTGAAAGAGCATTTTTTGCATTAAAAGGAAAACCTTGGCTGAGGGTCTTTTCCACTAAAGAGACGCAGCTGTGGTGGTCCTCACCTATCTGTGTCACAGAGGTAGCAGCGGCTCAAGGAAGACACCAGCAGGCGGCCATCTTGGTAGCCGAGCTGAACCACTCTGGAGTCCACAGTGGTGACGGTCTGAACAGGGAAGATAACGAATGTTGACCCCTAGACACAAAGAAAACAATATCAAACATGTATGGTATCTGTATAAATCGGAACACAAATTCATTTTGACTTTACAACACAATATTACAGAACAACCACTAGAATAGTATAATACTATTAAGGACCTTATCGTTTTCTGGAACTGTGCAGAAACACTGACTTTATTAGAAGAAAGGTTCAATGTTTTGAAATGTTGATTGAGAATCAGAATCAGAAACAGGTTTATTACCAGGTAGGTTGACACGTACGAGGAATTTGACTCGGTGTCGTGGTGCATACATAAAAGTAAGACAAGAATTAAAAACACAGGTAGAGAACTAGAAAAATATTTAAAAATATAGTAAAATATAACAGTATTTACATTGCAATGGAATGGAATAAGGAGGAATAAAATATGGAATAAAAATCGGCAGTAATACAAAATATTGTTGTACATTATGTGCATTAATGTAATGCATAGAGTCTGCGTTGTGGCTGAGAGTTTGCATGTCAACATTAAGAATGATGATTTGACCTATTCGGTATAGCCTTAAGCCATTCACACACAAACAGTTGTTGTGAATCAGCAGCCACTAATACCTTGCCCAGCTTGGAGGACCCCGCACGCAGAAAGGACACCTTGCCTCCCGCGTCCCCGACGAACACTCTGAGTGTGCTTGTGTCCCAGCAGAGGGATGTGATGGTCTGACCCCTGTGCTCCCAGGAGACACTC